ATTTTTTGTGAGAAATGGGGATTCATATCAATGAATTTTCCTCGTCAAGACTTGAATTTTACGACATCTAAAACTGAACATCGTTTTTTTTTATTTTTCACCCCCAAAAAAGCATGGTAGTTGCATAGTTTTGAAAATAAGGTAAAGTAAGACTGCCTACATCATTCATAATGATAATTTTCGAATTCACTGGTGATAACTTCAATTATGGGTCTTGCCACACTGTTTATATTGGGCAAAGCAGAAAAATTTGTTCTACAAGTATAAAAGAACACTCGAAAGCATTTTTGAAACGGGAAACCAACTCAACAATGCGACACATCTTCTGAAAATGCAATGAATGTAGTTAGATTCTTATAAAAGTCCGGGGCTTAATAATCACATCATATTTAGACGAGCATGATTTACCCTGAAGAAGCTTTGGTGTAGTGACATTTCTGATAATAAAAAATCTTCACCCAAATATCAAGTGATTACGATTGAACCATAATCAAGTATGTTGTGCATTCAGTCAATCGTCAGATGTTGCAATCTCTGACCCTAAAAAAGGTTAATTAGTGTATAATTGCAAAATTTTTTCGTTTTAGACATCTTTATCTTCAACCATTATGAAATAAGTTGTATAATATCTTCACGAAAACAAATGGGAGTGTTTTCAAATCATTGTATTGAATTTCAAAAAGTTTTTATTGTTCTGTCTTCCGCAAATAGCGAACCGACAAAATATGTTCTGTCGAATCGAATTATATTCAAATTCATTCCTTTGTTCAATACAAAATCCACCGTTCATTCGTAAAAACAAAAGTAAACGGTCACACAAGTCGCCCATAACCGCTAGTCTGTTTCGCTGAGATTTTCCAAAGTCTCCTAAACGTTTCGTGTCTTCGTCCTCAGATGACATCTCCTTTCTTCATAAACACCTCTCCACCGGACGAAGCAACTCTCGCTATCGCCAGGGAAGAACTTCGGGAAACTCCCGAAGTCGTCGAGGCAGCTTTGAAGGAACTGCGGGAGCTACTAAAGAATGACAGCTCGATCTATTTCAAAGACGATGACGCCACCCTGACGATATACTTGAGGCCCTGCAAATGGTATGCTAAAAGTGCATACGAATTGGTAAGTGAAAAACACCTAATACTCATTTCGAATCGGCTGTTTTGAATTACTCGAATAAATGAAATTCATTGTCATTTCTCCGATGAGACATTTATTGTTCAAAGGTTACGAATAAACAGTGCAAAAGTTTCAATATAATTCAATGGAAACCTTGCAATTCTTGGTCGCTACACAGTCATTAAAAAAACAGTTTGAAGTAAGAGTGTCTGAAAATTTTCAACTCTACGAAACGGCAATTTTTTTTTTGTATATTCAGGGGGTATTTTAATGAAATGTTAATCTTGAAAAAATGGTGATAAGTTGCTGTATAAAGTATANAAAAGTCACCTCAGATCAAATCTTCCGCATGTTCTACCTGATCCATGAACTGGCTGTTCTGGAGCCGGAAACCCAAATAAAAGGCGTGGTGGTCATTATGGATTACAATGGAATGGGAATGAAACAAGTGAAAGGTTAGTGGTCTAGACAAAGATGCACTGAAATCCTGGTGATTCACCCGTTATATAGCGTTTAGCGTCTGAACTCACTGGGAAGTGCATTATTGAGGACAACGGAATTATATATGAAACTTCGAGTGGTCCAAGAATTGATCCTTGAAGTTCTCCAGAACAGGCTGCTACGGATAGTGTTCCCAGATCTGAAGCAGGTCCTGATGTTATACTTGGACCCAATCCTTCTTATCCTCTCCGATAACCCTCTGATGTAGCGAAACACAAGTACTGGTTGTGGCGGCTTCTCTTCCTTGTGGAGTTCTTGCTGTCTTCTAGCTAAGGCTTGTTCTACCGTCGCTCTGGAGTAACCATTCCGTTGAAGGTAATTTTTGATGATGCCTAGTTCATTTTCGAGGCCTTCCCTTTCATTACAGAGCCCAAAAGCGCGGTCTAATAGAGTCTTGATGATTCCTCTCTTAGTCGATTGATGGTGGTTGGATTTCGGGTTCAGATACTGACCTGTGTGAGTGGGTTTTCAATATACAGATGTTTCCCATTTTTACTAGATATCGATAAGTCGTCTCGGTAATATTCTCAATTTGAAATAGTCACACGTTGTATAAAATTTTTTCAATGAACATTTATGAAATAGAAGTATTTTCAATAAAAATGTGTGGGTTTTACACCTCACAGACACGTCCAATCCATTGTATAGTAGGAAAAGGGATTTAATGAAATTTGATTTGATATCTATTACACATTTTATTTTTATTTATTCAACCTTGTTTTTATATGGTTTTCAAGGATTACAATGAAATTATCACCGTATCTATAGGTTCAGCAGTTCAAACACTTGAACTCTGTCATTTTTTTCAATAAATATATTTCTTAATACTTCAAAAACAACATGATGTCAGGTACTCTATCATTATTTTTGAATTTCAAAATCGATATTAAAATGAGGCTCTTATCCTCTTCTCAAATACACAAAAAGGAGCAACAACAAAAAATCTAAAAAAGAAATATAAATCTGAACAGGTAAATTAGAACAGATTAAACGAGATTCGACAAATTTTTTTTTGCCATTTTCGAAACATATTGTTAAAATAATCTACATCAATTCAATTTCTGTTAGTCATTATATGTAATATTTCCAACTAATCTTTACAAAAGTATTGGATGATGTAACATTGAGACATGCAAAATAATGAACGTTGACAATTTAATTTGAATAATTCCCAACTAAATGCAAAACACATGAAACCAGCGCAATAATATTATAAGTAGACAATTTTTCAATTACGCAATTATCCATTTTTCATTTGTAGATGAAACGGATCGCAGACTTCAAGGAAAAGAACAAAAAAATTTTGGATGGCCTTCTTCCGCAAGATGAGAAAGTTGCATTTACAGAACACAATGTCGTCAATGTGATGACCAACAGGGATCACAAAGGGCGAAGGGTCCTCATAGTCAATGCTGGAGGTGAGACATATCCCAATTGTTAGGACTTATTGTTTGGACACAGCTCCATTGCACTAACCATCTTCATTATAAATCCTTACATCATATATCCATCACAACTCCTTACATCATATCTCCATTACAACTCCTTAAACACTATCTTCATTGTAACTCCTTACAGCCTATCTCCATTATAACTCCTTACATCCTAGCTCAATTATAACTTCTTGCATCCTATCTCCATCATAACTCCTTACATCCCAGCTCCATTATAACTCCTTACATCCATCTCCTTTATAACTCCTTACATCATATATCCATCACAACTCCTTACATTATAACTCCTTAAACACTATCTTCATTGTAACTCCTTACATCCTATCTCCATTTTAACTACTTACATCCTAGCTCCATTATAACTCTTTACATCCTAGCTCCATTATAACCTTACATCCATCTCCTTTATAACTCCTCACATCATATCTCTAGTATAACTCCCTACATTATATCCCTAGTATAACTCCTTACATCCATCTCCATTATGACTCCTTACATCATATCTCTAGTATAACTCCTTACATCCTATCTCCATCATAACTCCTTACATCCTAGCTCCATTTATAACTCCTTTTATCCTATCTCCATAATAATTCCTTACATCCTAGCTCAATTATAACTCCTTACATCCTATCTCCATCATAACTCCTTACATCCTAGCTCCATTATAACTCTTTACATCCTAGCTCCATTATAACTCCTTACATCCATCTCCTTTATAACTCCTTACATCATATCTCTAGTATAACTCCCTACATTATATCTCTAGTATAACTCCTTACATCCATCTCCATTATGACTCCTTACAGCATATCTCTAGTATAACTCCTTACATCCTATCTCCATCATAACTCCTTACATCCTAGCTCCATTTATAACTCCTTAGATTCTATCTCCATTATAACTCCTTACATCCTAGCACCATTATAACTCCTTACATCCTATGTCCATCATAACTCCTTACATCCTACCTCCATTATGCGTTTTTTTAGCGTTAAAATATGTTTTATAGAAAATTTCACAATATTTTTTCGATTTTTCGTGCCTTTAATGTGTCTGGGACCATATTTAAAATTTCAGAACTCTGGGACCCATCAAAAGTCACCTCAGATCAAATCTTCCGCATGTTCTACCTGATCCATGAATTGGCTGTTCTGGAGCCGGAAACCCAAATAAAAGGCGTGGTGGTCATTATGGATTACAATGGAATGGGAATGAAACAAGTGAAAGGTTAGTGGTCTAGACAAAGATGCACTGAAATCCTGGTGATTCACCCGTTATATAGCGTTTAGCGTCTGAACTCACTGGGAAGTGTATTATTGAGGACAACGGAATTATATATGAAACTTCGAGTGGTCCAAGAATTGATCCTTGAAGTTCTCCAGAACTAACTGGTGAAGCATCCGAACATCTACCATCTATACATACAATTTGCTTGCGATTCCGTGGTAACTCTCTAACAACTCGTCGATGTATTTATTGAAGTCAAAGTTTTAAATATTCTTACAGAAAAGTATACTGTATCAAATGCCTTACTGTAATCAAGCAATGGCGATTTCCATTCTTACTACTTAGCAACTATCTTTGTCAACCTTTCTCTAAAATTAACTATTCCTTTATCTACCCTAAGAAACAAAACTGTTTATAGTGAACAGTTCATCTGTCTGTCAGTTTTTTTATTCGTGAAGATGAAAAAATCTTCTATTTGCAATTGGAGACGATATTGCCTCCAACACTAATTTATAAAAGAAAATGATATAATGAACGAACAAAGAAAACACACTGCTAATTATATTCTAGGTTTGGGTCCCGCCTTCAGCTTGCTGCTGCTCTCTTTCATCCAAGACGCCATGCCGTTGAGACTGAAAGAGGTCCATATGGTCAAAGAACCTTTCGTCTTCAACATGGTCTGGCAAATTTTCAAGCCCTTCATCAGGCAGAAGCTCAAGTCCAGGGTAGGTATTTTACAACAATATATTTATCTACTGATTGTCCGATGTTTCTGGGTTCATGAGCCGTGGTCTGCAGCTTTTTATATCCGACGTTTCGTCTGCTACTGCGGCAGACACTACCGAAGGCGATGGAAACATCGAATGATCTGTTAGACGAGGTTGTGAAAGCCTACACATCAATATCTCTACTTTTGGATATGAAATCGGGCGTTACTTTATTTCACAATAGACAGTTTCGCTTCCTTCGCCTTTCCTACGCAGACTAACTCGCAGTTGCGCCGCTAGCCTTTTTATATGCAATTATTACTGCCATCTCGAGGTGATCGGAATACACTAGCTAGAACCAGAACTTTCTCGAACCGACGCGGTAATTCCAAATATTTAATTACGCCTAATGCCACCTAGCGGGTAGCTGAAAAAGATAGTACATAGTACCACTACTCGCCACTAGATGTCGTTAAGTGTCACAATACACAATAATAATTGAAATGCAAAAAAAACGTAAGTTTGCTTAGGTCACGCACTTTGCGACTATCCTAGTCTAGAAATATAGTTAAGAGCAGAAATTGGCCCTTGGAACAAAGTGAAAAAATAATTATGGTCCGAAGGCTTCAAAGTTTGGAGACCCCTGCTCTAGAGCATTGAGTGGTGAAGAATCTTAACGGAAATATCATCATATCCGGCAGAAGGTCAGTGTCATATAAAATAAGACTGTCATGATTTTTTTTTTAAATTGTCTAAGTTGATCAATGGATCATATGTTGCATATTATATAAATACCGTTTCATTTCAACTCCAACGACCTGTATCTCAGAAACGATAGGTACTTTTTTCTTTAAGCGATCTAACGTATCACCTTCTGAATTTTTGTACCGTACTTAGGAAACACCCTGTATAAGGAACGAATCACGTCTCAGGAAAAAACTCCACGTTTTTTGCCCGAATCTTAATCTAGCCGGAACTGGGTGAGAGTATCTGATACTGTGGACTTCGTGCCACTATTTTTTCGAAATCCATCCTAATAAAAGAATTTTTACTTCTCAAGTTATTGAAACAATCTATAATGTGCTGGTATTTAAAATTCTTTAGATAAAACTGGTAAAACTGATATTAACAATTATTTCATAATCGATAGACTAGCTTTAGGATTTACATAAAAATAATAAACATATATTAATAAAAATGAAACCGCCACCATAACAACTAATTGAATGAACCTCCTGATGATAAATCAAATTCAAACAAATCATCCATATTCAGTGTGTTTGTAAGAGCCATATGCAAATAAATCAAAAAACATATACTAAACCACACCAACGACATAACCAAGGCAAACAGCAGGACAGCCATACGCACCACAGTATTTCCTATAACGTACATGTCATACTTGGAATCTGAAAGAAACATATAATAATAATAATAATAATAAAAGTATGTAAACAGAAATAACAGATTTACTTGAAATACCACGGGACAATTTTTTAAATAATTCACTGATGAAAATAGAAAGAAATCATTTAAGCTTATAAACACCGCCAAATGAGGAATCGTTTCCCACCTCTCTGCGGCTCTCACTGCAAATAGGCAAATGCCATTTGAAGCCAATACAGAATATAATCCAGGTTGCTTAGAGCTTAGAGCAAATCACTTATACTAGGCTGGGTAACGAAGTTATGTTTGATCTAGTCATGAATAATACTGAAAAGATGAGCATGTCGATTTCCCTACTGAGGAAGTATATGGCATGTCGGAGGCAGTGCTTCTGAGTTTTATATTTTTTATGCTTTCAGTCGTTCATATGCAGTTTTTAGTTTTTCTCAAATGTATCCTGAACTGTATATAGTTTTTCGAAACAAAAATGTATCAAATAATATATTCACTTTCATTACACCCTGTATAGTTTTGGGTAGGGCGAATTGGCGGCTTGAGAGATAATGGAAAATTGAATAAGTTGTACGACAGACTCAAGAATAAACTGATGAAATAATAGTTTGACAACAATTTACCAATAGTAGAAGGTTATTCTGATTAACATACATAAATGAAATATGTTTATACACTTACCACTTTTTTCAACAAATATCATTCCAAGCATTACATTAACTGGTATCCTAACAAAAAAGAAGCCAATGCACCAAAAGGTAAGGGAACAACATAGTGAGAGAAACAAAGTTAACTCTAATCTTTTTGCTAAAGCAGTTTTCAACCAGGTTGGGAGATGCTTGTAACATCTGTTAGTCAGATCTGCAATGAAAACAATATTCATTATTGTAATTATTCATCATTTTTCAATTATTCAAGTATAACTTGAAAACTTGATAAATATTAGTGACTCCTTTTAAACAATAAACTATTTTTGGCCACTATTCAGAATTGTTTTCATATATGTTCAACCCTAGCAGTTTTTAGTAATAATTACTAGTAATTGCATCGATTTTTCCATGAATTTCACTACTTATTTTCATTATTAATATGATCTTATAGTTCAGTTGTTTAACTCACCGATAAACATTTCGAAAATCATCTTTCTGAAATCCATTTTTATTAACGAAAGGACAGTTGTTTATGAATTAATTTATCGCCACACCATTTGCTTCTACCACAGCCTGCTTCGAATTGTTCAGGAATTTGCGGCGACGGATGTTTTTGCAAAAAAAAAACAGTTTTTTGTATTTGGATGTTTCTGTTAATTTCATACAGTACCATGTAAAAAAGCCGCAACACTGAAATTTACGAATTTCATAGATAAACTTTACGTGAATCTACTTAATCGAAATTTTCTTTTCTAGATTTTCTTCCACGGAAGCAAAATGGCGAGCCTACACAAAAAAATGAGTCCTTCCCATCTGCCGAAAGACTACGACGGGGACCTTCCTGCAATCAACTACAGTGGAAAAGAATGGTTTCCAGTTGTAGAAAATTATAAGGACCACATCAAAACGATGAATTCGTTCGGGCTAAAAAAATAATAGCTCGCTTTTGATATTTACTTCACTTTAAGTTTTTCTAGCTGCCAATTGAGGCTCATTGGAATTTTTGTGAGATGCCACTTTCTGCACGTTGATAGAAAAAGTACAACAACTAAAGTCGTGTTTTGTTTTTGTCTATTTCGCATCTCACGAAAACTTCATTTATTATTATCAAATTTTTATATGATTAAAATCAAGTCCCACATATTTGAATTGAAGTTTTATTTCGGGTTTATGAAATTCATTTAGTGTTCAGTAATGTACTGAAATAATTATAAAAAATACAGCGTGACTCACGGTCGATGGTATGTTAGACGTTTCTGGAAAACGCAAAGCATAATTTTTCTGAAAATT